AGAGAATTGAGATAGTGGGGAGAAAGGTACCTTCTCAAGGCGGGCTCAAATGGACTAAGTGGCGAAGGTATTGGAATACTCCAGAAGTGCTACGCATTAGGAAGGCCTGTAGAGCTCTAATGAGTGGCTAAAGAAGGCAACTATTGTATATTCTCAGGCAGTCAGGTGATTTAGTCCTAGTGATGGCAGCATCGAAGCAAATTGTTAAAAATTGTTAAGCTAGCTTGCAGATAAACTCGACGTCCTCTTAATTTAAGTTCTCGGCGAAAACAATATTTTTGGTAACGAAAAAACCATTAAGTTGACCAAGTCAGGAGCATCAATTGATGAAACCGAAGCCTGTCAGTTCGGGTTAGGGATTCAAGAATTTACCCGACGCAAGGCATGCCTCTCTTAAGAGGCGACAAAGATTTTTATCCGGCCAAGGACTGTAAAAATTACTTTTGCGGTTACACCAATAACAACAGGAAAGATCATCTGCTACTATATATATAAGAGAGACGTGCATATTTGACAGACTAAAATTTAAGAACCTATAGGCCTAGGTAGAATACATATAGTCACTGTCTCTTTGGGCTTAACCTATCACAGTCATATCCGCAGCTGTGACCTAGTTGTCCGTTTTCACCCTGAATATCGAGCTCTCTCACCTATTCGACATTCTACACTTGGAATCCACAGATACCGAATCTTGAATGGCTGTCCACTAAAAGGATATCGAATGCAAACAGTTTCTTTGAGAACACAAAGTAGTTCGAGCGCGACGATGAAATGTGTTTAAGTTCGTCCGATTATTTCGTCAAAATTGGTTCGAGGATAAAATGTTTCAGCAGCACTTCTACCTACACCGCCATTAATCTCTCATTACATCTCTTTCGTCCCTTGCCTATTTGGCTACGTGATTAGCTAAGTTAACAAAGCTTGCCCATCATTTAGCAATTTTATTGCTTGTCTCCAATCGAGGACAACCTCCCCACTTGATCTTTATAACAGGCAAACTACAATGTATTTGGGAGACTGAGCTCCACTGCACTTTTGTAGATTTTAACTAGTTTTAAAGTATTTTTGAAATCAACTACTTGGTATATCCATAGCTCCCCAAAGAACTTCAAACTGATTTCATGCTGACACCTGGGTACAGATTGGCCGTCAATTGCTCTCTGCTCACTACTAACATCCTACCTTCGATATATGATTTCCACCTCATCTGTACATCACGCTAGAGGGAGGACAGAGGCTTCGAATGTAAATGAAATAAGACCGCTCCAAGAAAAACGAGACATAACCGAATCAAAGCTCCTTTTATTAAACAGTATTTCAGCGAGATCGATAAATATATCGGTATCAATATGAGAAATCCCTTGACTTCTAAAAAACAGCCTTTTCGAGAAGCCTCAGCTCCTCCTAAATGTCGCTTTTTATTTAAGATTTCATAAGAGAGAAACTGGCAACACCGCGCGCCCCTCTGTCAGAAAAGGTGAATATTTTTTGAACTTCATGCCTGGAAGCGTTTCTTTGAGGTGAAAAAGCGCAAAAGTTACTATGCGTCGTTGTATTAAGCTTACTTCTGAATCATTCCCCGATAATCGTGTAAAAGATTCTCAGAATGTAATTTTGCACCATTTTATAGTGTAAGCAATGCATGAAACCGCAGAACCGATATAATTTCACGTTCTTGAAAGGGCAAACAAATCTTATTCCGGCGCTCCACTTGTCTACTTGCGGAAAATCATCGTAAATTCCAAGAATAAATTTGTGTGCAATGCCGCAACTGTTTTGCATTATTTATTGTTATTCCTTTTCAATAAAAGAGAGAGAGAAAACAAATATGAATTCATTAGCACACTCGGTGATTAATCAAATCTTTATGCGTGTACACAAGCGAACAACGAACGGGCAATAAAGCGTGCTTGCGCCCCAAGAAAGTCAAAACCCATTGCACCCAACCGCAATCTGCGACGTCAACGCTGATGATTAAACATTAACCCCGTAGATGGCATGAGGGATTGGCGCACGATAATGAGCGTGTCTTACTTATGTTCTGCAGCTTTCCGTTTGTATTCTCAGCAAAGCCAATTCCAGTGATTCCGATTGTTTACGATCTTATTATGTGAATGATGTGCAAAAACAATACGCACGTCTAGGCTTTAATGTCTGTGGAGTTCCTTGTTGAATGTCTTCTTTGCTTTTGTTCTTAACTCACACTCCAAGTTGTTTATTGGAATCTTCTTTTCTTTGTTCATCACTACAGACGGGAAATGCGTTCTTAGCGAGTGTTGAACAATTTAACATCTGGCTGAGGTGTTCTTCGTTTGAGTAGATTCACTATGACACGTGACATGTTTGCGTGGGATAACAGTGGCTTGTGTGTTTATCTGAGGAGGAAAGTACTTTTGTTGTTGCTTACAGTTAGTTATATTCGATTCAAGTGATTTTCAGTAACAAAGGAAATGTGAAATAAACCCTTTTATGATACCAATTCGGGTGACCGCAAACGCCGAGTAGCTGAAGATCAGGGTTTTAGTTCTGGTTCGACCAATATCCAAAACTATGGAAAATTAATTTTCGCCCATCGGCAGGAAATGTAAAGCCCTCCGAGTGTATTTCCGACATGAAATGAAGGCTCGTCTTACAAAACCATCAGAGGTTCGGAGGCGGCTTAGTATAAATTGTAGATCCCTACATTTGTTGGAAACATCACAAATTGGAGGAGTAGTCCGGCCGAAAATCGCTTCAACGGTTACAAAACGCCACTTATATATATAAAAGGTGATCCATTTCGAGGTTTCCTACTTTTTTAAAGAAATAAAAACGCAGAAAATTCAAATTTAATATGGAATGTTTATTATCATTCGAAAAGGCCTCCTTTGGTATTTAGTTTTTGAAGAACATCTCTTTCAATGTTGGCCGCGGCTACGTCTGAGATTGTCCGATCATTGAGTGCAATATTCGATGAATCGTTCGAACATTTCGTCTGGTAACTGGCACGACTTTACCTATCCCCATAGGAAAACGTCTAACGGTGTGATATCACACGATCTTGGTTGCAAATTGGCTGGCTTAAAACGTGAAATTATCTGCTCAAAGAAGTGTTCTCTTAATAAATCCATTGATTGATGAGATATGTGGGAAGTAGCGTCGTGTTGTTGAAGCCACATGTCGCCGATATTACGAACTTCAATTTCAGGTCTCAAATAATCGGTTATCATGACACAAAGCCGTTGTTTTTCCGCATGAAACGGCAGCTCTTGAAATTCTTCGTCCTCTCTCACTCTTCATCCCGAATGCGACAATTTTGCTTGTTTACATGCCCATTGAGTCAGAAACGGGCCTCCTCGCTAAACATAATTTGACATGAAAACGTCCGTTCTCTAAGGATTTTTCATAAGTACATAGAGCGAAACTATGTCGCCTGGGGAGGTCAAGCGACTTCAGTTCTTGCGCAAACTCGACGTAAAATGCGTCAAGTGATTACATACGTCCAAGTTGCTGTGAACGGCGCCGAATCGACTTTCTACGGTCTTCGTTCACACTCTCAACTCCGGCCGCTTTATTTTCTTCACTGCGTGCATTACGTGGTTTATTCGGTCGAATATTATCAAATTATGAGCGCTGGGTCTTAAGATGGGTCATGGTATTGCGAATAGTAGGCTCAGTAGGCCGATTATATAACAAATTTGATCGATTTGTAAATGTTTTCAGGCGTAAGTCTTCTCATGATGAAATGCCAAATTATACTGAACAGAAGTAACATGTCAGCTTGATATGACTCCCGCGCGATCTGTCAAAAAAGGCTATTGAAAAAGTATCTCTACTTGGATTACCCATTATTATATGTAAGTGAATACAAATTACCTCTTCTTCATCTTATTCATTGGAAGCCGATCGCTCCCCTCGTGATCTTTCCAACGGAGTGGAGAACTTCCTGGTTCCACCGGCGGATGCTGCATCGAATATTATCATTCATTCGGATACATGACCTGGTCTACGTAGCCACTGTTTCTATGATCACTGAACTATGCCAAAGTCACCGGATAGCTCGTACGGCTCATCGTTTAATCGTCTGTGGTATTCGCCGTAGCTGATGCGCTAAGGACCAGAAATCGTTCACATAACATTTCTCTCGAAAAACTGAGTGACTACTCATCGATATCGTCCACTGTCCCATACAGTAGGAAGGACGAGTGACTTGTAGAGTTTAGTTTCGGTACGTCGAGAGAGGACTTTACTTTTCAATGGCCTACTCAGTCCAAAGTAGCACCTGTTGGACAGAGTGATTTTGTTGTGGATTTCAAGGCTGAAATTATAATTAGTGTCTCTGGTTAGGTAAAATTAACCACGACTTCGAAGTTATGACTGTCAACAGTGACGTTGGAGCCAAGTCACGCATACAAAAGACCCGAGCTGAGTACCACTGCTCAGTAAACTCTCACGCACTTCACGATCCAAAGTCCAAAATGTAACTCATTCACCTGCAACGCCATCAACAATAGATTCAACTCAATATTAGTTCAGTTTGAGATTTTTGGACACCTGTTCGTATATCACTAGAGCTAGACGGTGTGCGTTACGCACGCTACTATGATTGATCGTTTGTACAAAATTTCGCTTTACTGGAGAATTTTCGACGAAATTTTGAGTACTAATTTTGACAGTCGTGATTTTGTATTCACTCATTCACTCACTTGCGCTCACTGGGCTGATCGGCCACGCTTAAATCGTTACTGCCGAAAATGTTTCAATTAGAAAATTCCAACAACAACTACGGGCAGTTTTTGTTTGCCACAAAAATTTGAATTTAAATTTGAGTTAAATACTATTTGTGGGTTAGCTTATTATCGTACTATTTGCTTTATGTATGTATGTAAGTGTGTAACTCATATTTTGAGCTACTTGAGCATATCGTGCATATGCTGTCCGCTCATCACTCATGCATTGCCGACCGACTGACCCAAAGCGCCATACAACATTTCAATTCACTTTTAGCGCGGTTTAGTTCAGTTTAGTTAGGCAGTTAGTTAAGTACGTCAAGTACGTACATACATATATGTATATATCCTCCGCAGCCGGTTTACTTAGTTCGGTGCGGTTCCATAGCGTTTGCTGATTTTTTTTCTAGCGTTGGATCGTTCAGTTCTATGTGATACTTACGTTACGGTGGAGTGTTTGGGCAACGCGCAATTTTTCGATTTGTGATTTTTCTTGAAAATTTGAATTCGATAAAATAAAATCGGTTTTTTTTTTCATTTTCTGTCTTCGTTTCAATCGCAGTGTGTGTTTTTAAGTGTGAAGAAAGTGTAAATCACTGTCTACTTGCATGTGCAGTACATAGATTTATACATACAAACCGACATACAAATACAATGCATAGTGTACCTATTTGCCGCTGCGTTTACTATGTTAAAGTGTTGTTTTATTGAAATTTCCGTTTGTGCATCGATTTGTCTCGCTGGTGTTTCGGTTCATTAGTTCCTACACGAAAATCGTTATTTTATTTATTTATTTATTTATTTACTTATTTACGTAGTGCATATTGCACATAGTACGAGTATTACTTATTGGATTGCCACAGTGGCAGGGGTTATAAGCCCAAAGAAATATTTCAAATAAAAATAAGTGCGTTTTATATTTGCATTTCTCATAGTGAATAAAATACATACATACATATATACATAAATTCATACGTACAATTGTGGAAGAAGGCGCTATACAGATCAAAGGCGGCATTTTCAGATTATTACTTACAACCGGAGTATTATTCATTGTGTGAGTACCAAGAGACATCAACATTAAATGTAAAAAAAAAAATAATAATAATATAAAGTGTTTTATATTACAACATCTAAATGAAATTTTAATTTATTTTTTTAATTATTTTACTTTTTTTATTTTTTTTTTAATTATTTTACTTTTTTTATTTTTTTTTTTTTATTTTTTTTTTATATTTTTTTTTTTTTTTTTTTTTAAATTTTTTAATTTTTTTTAAATTTTTTTTATATCATTATGTATATAAATATGTGAAAATTTTTAAAAATTTGAAAATTTGAAATTTGCTGCCATTATTGGCAAAGTAAAAAGTAATCCATTATTTTTCCAATAGCTGGCATTTTTACTCTGAATCTCACTTTGTATAAGTCCGATCGGGTTCCGCTAGATGGCGTTAGAAAGATGACATTTCGTGCTAAAAAAAAAACTTTTCTGATAGTTTTGTAATTGGTTGATGTAGTTTTGTTTGAGCCTGCGTCAAAGATGGCCACTAATAAAGAGCAAATACGCTATATAAAGTTTTTCTACGATAAGGACGAAAACGAAAGCCAAAACCTGAAAAGCGTTTATGATCCTGATACTGTTGCAGTCAATCATGCACACTTTCGATTTCATTCCGATAATTTTGATGTAAAAGATGCTTCACAGCGTGGAAGGCCAATTGTCGATTTTGTCGAGCTCGACCGCCATGTAAACGCTGTTTCGATTGCCCAAGAGCTAAAGATTGCCCAAAAAACCATTTGGAAACATTTGAATAAGGCTGCATACGAAAAGAAAAAATTAAATCATTCAAATAATTTATGCAAAAATAATTGTGTTCTTTTTACTACACCTAAAATAAGTTGATGAATCTAAAACATTCTTTCAGTTAAGGTTCTGGAGCTACATGCTTTTTGAAAAGTTGTTCGAAAAATCTGTATTTGCCTTTAAGGGGTTACATAGGTCCTGAAGGTCAAAAAAAGCTTATTTTCTCTAATTCTTTTAAAAGATACTAAATAAACTATACAATTTATTTTATTTATATATAAAAGTGCAATATGTGGATAACATTTGATGAACATTTGAATGGAAAATAGTATAAGTTAAGACGTTGATAGTGTCTTGAAGTAGACCGTCTACAAGAAACTGCTTTCGTGGTTGTCATGCTAACTTTTTCAGTTTTTAACTGAAATCAAAAATCCAAATTATTTCTTAAAGTGGGTGAATTTTCCATGTCCCTGAACGAAGAAAAATTATAGATTATTTTTATAAAGGACTTAGCCAACCGGACAGCAGCGATAATCCGCTGCTCGTCGAACAATAACTGTTTATGTTTTATTGAAATGTGTAGTAATACTATGAATATATTTGCTTATTTTTAAAAAAAAGTTCTATTAAATTTTAATAAAAAAAAGTAGTACGTCCGCCCAATAGAAAAATACGATTTATTTTACAAATGTGACTTTTACAAAACTGCAGAATTAAAATTTCCATTAACCTATTTATTCACGTGTTTTATTTATTTGAATTTGGTAAATTAATTTGTTTGCATACCAAATATTAGAAATTAGAAATATGACATTTCTCGCCTTACCTAATGTTATCCATTTGAGTATTATCTATTAAAGTTTCATTAGGTTTTTAATACGGGGTTTTCAGGAAACCTTTTACTAGTTAAATAAACATTTATACACGTATATATTGCATTTTCACCTCCATTTGAACATTTTGAATTTCCTCTTCGAACTATTCTTATTAAAATTGTCTACGGATTCCAACAAAAATTATTATTTCGTTTTGTAAATATGAAAAATAAATTTAAATGTCGAAACTGTACGAACTCAAATTTTAAAATGGCTCCCTGCTACGATTTAACAACGCAGTTCTATTTTAACATTTAACAATATAAACTCATTTGTTTACTATTTAACATTATCTGTTAATGACGTAATTTTATCTGTTAACGCTTAGCATTATCTGTTAATGATTTGACCTTATCTGTTAGCGTTTAGCATTATCTGTTAAGAATTTAACCTTATCTGTTAGCGATTTAACATTATCTGTTAACGATTTAGCATTATCTGTTAACGTTTAACATTATCTGTTAATTATTTAACCTTATCTCTTAGCGTTTAGCATTATCTGTTAACGATTTAACATAATCTGTTACCGTTTAACATGATCTGTTAACGATTTAACATTATCTGTTAACGCTTAGTATTATCTGTTCAAGTTTAGCAGTATCTGTTAACGAGTTAACCTTCTCTGTTAACGTTTGACATGATCAGTTAATGATTTAACTTCATCTGTTAACGATTTAACATAATCTGTTCCCGTTTAACATGATCTGTTAACGTTTAGCATTATCTGTTAATGATTTGAACTTGTCTGTTAGCGTTTAGCATTATCTGTTAAGAATTTAACCTTATCTGTTAACGATTTAAAATTATCTGTTAACGCTTAGCATTATCTGTTCAAGTTTAGAATTATCTGTTAACGTTTAGCATTATCTGTTAATGCTTTAGTATTATCTGTTAACGATTTAACATTAACGCCGTTTCTTGTAAAAATGAAAAGAAATTTGTTATGATAATTTTATCAAAACGATATTTCCAAATGAAACGACAGACATTTTTTGATTAACGTAAAATTTACCGTTACGAAGTAACCTTGATATAATATGTATATACATATTGAGTCATATGAATATCCTGACATACGAGAAAATATCTTTGATTCCAAAAACAATGTACATATAATAGTTGCTGTGTTTCTTAAACTTATCATTTACTGTGTTGTTGCTTTCGCTTTTATTATTATCAATATTGTTGTTGTTGTTGTGCTGCATGTTGCTGTTGATGACGGTGATTATCCAATTGTACTGAAACCAGAAGAGTTTTCTGCACTAATTGAACAACAAGGCAGTGTGAGCGCACATATGTGTTTATATACGAGTATATATATGTACATACAGTATGTACAAGCAAATACATACATAGTTTTACCCCCAAACAAGATGTGGTGGGGTTGGGGTTGATCTCTGCTGCCTGTCGGCACAAACGTTTTAGCGCTCGCAGTTTGTTAATTTGCCATTATAGTATATATTGTGTATACCGTGTACATACATGTATTAATGAATGTATGTATGTACATAAAAATTCCGCCACACAGCATCTAAATCCAAATATGTAAATATTAACAAACACATCTGATATATACAAAGATCATTTAATTTTCACAAAGCCATTCATATCCCTACGTACATACATATTTACATATACATATATTTACATACGTGTGTGTATATGTGTAGATGTCACATACTAAATATGTATCTAAATTGATATGTTTTTGTGTTTTGTTGCAAGTGCGAAGTTTCTAAGCTCGTAATGGGGCATCAAGTGTTCATTTATACACACATACAAATACATATAGACATGTATATTTACATGGTGTTTATGATATGAAAACACAATACAAATTTTGTAAAAAGGAACGTGGGATCTGACGCGCTCGATGATAGCTTATAAAAGTGAAACTGTTTTTCGTTTATTAAATAAAAATGTAATAAACATAATAAATGAAATGTATTTGTGTAAGTGTGAATTGAAAAAGAAAAAAAAAAAACAGAAAAAAATTAAACAAAATTTATTAGAATGCTGAGAGATCAATGAGCGCAACTGAAAATACCTTTGAAGTACAGAATTTTCAAGTGGTAAATGCTAGAAAGTTGCAAATCACTTCGAATGCCTTAAAAAATATTTGATAAATCACTTTGAAAATATGTTGTTTGAATGAATTATTACATTCAGTTTCAAAATACTTCCACTCACAATACATGCTGGAATTTTTATTTGTGAGCAATGGAGAAATATCAAAAACTTTTTCTTAGGAGTTAGCTCCTCCTGAGGGACTGTGGGGATCTATGGGAGCTAATGGAGTGGGTACCATTCAATTTATTGAATGCAACATGGCCAAGGAGATTTATTTGAATATACAGAAGTTTAATTTACGTGAAAGCATGGAGTGGAAAAAATTAGGCTTCCGTTAGTGTTTTAGCTCCAGCAAGACAACGATCCAAAACGTACAGCGTTGATAGTGAATGAACGATTGCTTTATAATGCCGCTCAGCAGCTAGAGAGTCTCATTAGATACGAGTGAAAACGATCATTTTAAACGCGTTTTTCTCGAAACAGCATTTTCCGAATTTGCTGCAGTGATTACTCAAACACAAATGATCCGATCACTATCGAATTTTTTTTAAATGTTCTATATATAGTTCACGGTAAAATGACCTTTCGATTTTTGATCTGATCAAAAAACCGAATTTTGGCAGGCCAAAAACGACCAAAAATTGGGTAAAATTCGACTATTTTTTTAAAACGCCGCCATATATTCAATTTTTGATTTTTTTTATCGTAGGGCATCGTACAGACAATATTATCTAGTAGAGAATATTTTTTTTAGACTATTTAGGACCTTTTTTCGCGCCGTTGGAGATCGACTATAACTTAAAAAATATTTAATTTTTTTCTTCAAAAATTTCACTGTATATTCATGAAACATGTATGATAATAAATATATTCTTAAAATTTTGAAATCATTGATAAAGTAGTTTTTTTAATAAAAATTCTTAAAAATCACCTCTTTACACTTAAGGGCTAAGGCCACTGCAAACGCAAAAAAAACGCCTTTTTCAAGATCCATAATGTTTTTATATCTTATTAGTTTCATATTTAAATAGAAAAGATTAATTTACAACAAATAAATATTTTAAAATGGCGGAACTATGAACATTTTGGTAAAGTGAAATTTCTTCTAGTAGCTTCGCGGTTCGCAGCACACCGAGTGCAAAATAGAATCTGCAGCCAAATATCTTTTTTTTTTATCTACATGAGAATAGCTAGAGAATGATGGGATTTTAAAAGTTATTGATTTTTGCGAAATTTGAAAGAATTTGAGATAATTTTTTTATAACTATTGTTTAATTTTGGTTATCGAAAATCTCGTACGTCATTCTT